ACAAGTGCATTGCAGAGCCTCTTCACCATGGTAGGTTTAATTCCATTGCAAATCCCCATTCAGCCTCGCACAGGGTGAAAGCCTGCAATAGGTTTGCATAACAAAACAAGATCCAGATGATTGCACCCCTTTGATCCTTAGTAAAAAGCCATAATTTATAGTAAATCTTCTAAAAAACGGACCTCAACAACACAGGGATAGAGTGCAAAAACAGGGCTGACACCGTTCAGTTCCACGTAGAACGGTGGTAATACTGATAGGCCGATTGGGTCAACCTGATTAGAGGTCACCTGATATACCAACCATCGAGGCAGACTGCTCAGGTGAAACCCATAAATCTCTCCCATGAATACACACAAAACTTTCTATTGCTATAAATATAATAAAACACAAAAAAGCACACATTCTCGAATCCTCAAGGTGTCAGATTGTTCCTTAGACATTAGAAGTAGTGAAATTATAAACCAGTGGTGACAAACACTATGGAACGTGTGGCGCAATGTGGGTACACAGAAACCCCTCTGTCATGCAGGCGTGGCGCAAGTCGCCCCCAGCAAGGGTGGGGTGGCCGAGCGTCAGATAACAGCGCACATATGGCAGGCCATGCGCAAGCTGCAGGAAGTGAGTATCGGTGCCCAGTGGATGACGTTCAAGAGCTGCAATCTCAATTAACCACCGACTCGTCCCGAGCGTTTGCATGGCCAAATGGATATATATCATTAGTGGACTCCCCCCCCAACCTCCCCCGGCTGTGTTTTTAAAAATGATTTGTTATTTAACACCCCCCCCCCCCCCCCCCCCCCCCCCACAAGATTTTAGACTTATTGCTGGTGGTCAGTGGAGATTTGCCACCTTGTGCTGGTGTGTCAGTGGAGATTTGGCCACCTTGTGCTGGTGGTCAGTGGATGATTTAGCTCACCCTTGTGCTGGTAGGTCAGTGAATTTGCCACCTTGTGCTGGTGGTCAGTGTAGATTTTTTGCCCCCTTGTGCTGGTGGTCATGGAACTTTGCCCCCTTGTGCTGGTGGTCAGTGGAAAGCTGTTTATTGTATTTTTCTTTTAAGACAGAAGATGTTATTCTGTGTATGGGTTGTTTTTTCTAAACTAAAACTTCAGTATTCGGGTTCAATTGCAGTTTTGGCACCTTGAGATAAAGAACTGGTTTTGGGATGCAGTGTGGGACACTCGGTCTTTAAAAGAATCACCATCACTGTTATAAAATCATAGTGTACATCTATTATGATTATAAATGTATTGATATAAATCTGCGCACAGTGATAATATGTGCGCTGCTAACAAAAGTTTTGAGATATACCCAATGTAAAAACTTACAATATTGTGAAATGATACAGATGCCAGTGAATATAACAAAAACATACAAATAAATAAACAATGTTCAATGTGCCAAATGTGTAGTCTCTGCTAAATCAAAGTTCATATATATTCAGATAAAAGAGATCTTCCATCATCCAGTAATCCTTGTAGTGCAACAAAAACACCAAGTGCCACCACTTAATCAAATGCACACTTTTCCGATCAGAAGCTGTAATAAGTACAGTGGACACAGCATGCTTCTTAGACACAGACTCTCCCCAGGTTACATAGTTAGTCTGGCTGAAAAAAAGAAAAGTCCATCCAGTTCAACCATAAAAAAAATAAAAAAATAAAAAAAAGTTATAATCCCACACCCACAGTTGATCCAGAGGAAGGCAAAAAACCCCAGCAAAGCATGATCCAATTTGCTCCTGCTGGGAAAAAAAAAAATCCCTCCTGATCCCCCCAGAGGTAATCAGATATTCCCTGGATCAACTTTACCTATAAATGTTACTAACCAGTTATATTCTGTGTAGCCAAGAAAAAATCCAAGGTCTTTTTTAAAAGCAATCCACTAAGCTGGCCAGAACCAAACACCTGAGGGAGTCTATTTCACATTTTTCCTCAGCTCTTAGGCCAAGTTCACACTAGCTTTGTTAGCAGGCGTTATACAGACCTTTGGGAAGAGTTTTTAACGCTCCTCAAATGCCTATGAAAAATTCAAATACATGGCAGCACACAGTACTGTTCACACTGAAGCGTCACAGCAAAATTGACACCTATATGTTGAGTCAGGAGAGTTGAAGCCTCCCATTTCAAGTCTATGGTGACGCTCTTCAAACACCTGGCAGCGTTTGCAGGGCATTTGCAAGGCGGGTTTGCGAGGCGTTTGAGCGTGTAACACTATTAACTTCATAATAGGCATTTGTGTGTGCAGTTTTAATGCTTGGAAAACACCTATCAGATGCCTCAAAAATGCGCATAGGGCATTTAGGAAGCATTGAGGAGCGTTAAAAATGCTTCCCAAATGCCTGTCTAATGCTTGTCAAACGCTATAATGGCATTTGACAAGAGTTAAAAGTTAGTCAAGTGTGAACGAGCCTAACTGTGAAGAAACCTTTCCATGTTTGGAGATTAAATTTCTTCTCCTCCAGACGTAAAAAGAGTGCCCCCTTGTCCTCTGATGACCTCAGGGTGAATAACTACACCGAGTTCACTATTCATGAACCACTGATTTATACATGTTGATCATATCCCCCCTTAATCTCCTCTACTCAAGAGAGAATAAATTCAGTCTCTAATCTTTCCTCATAGCGCAGCTCCTCCATGCCTCTTATCAGTTTGGTTGCCCTTCTCTGTACTTTCTCCAGTTCCCCAATGTTCTTTTTTTAATTGGTGCCCAAAACTGAAATGCATATTCCAGATGAGTCCTTACAATGATTGTACAGGGGTAATATGATATCTCTCTCTGGAATCTATACCTCTTAATACAAGAGAGGATTTTGCTCGCTTTTTAGAAACCACAAACAGCTTGGCATTGCATGCCATTATTAGGCTTGTGATCTACCAGAACTCCCAGATCCTTCACCATTGATCTTCCCCAGTTGTACACCCCCCCCCAGTATGTATGATGCATGCATATTCATATGCCCAAGTGCATAACCTTACATTTATCAACATTAAACCTCATTTGCCACATAGTTGCCCAATTAACAGTGCATTGAGGTCAGCTTATAAATTGGAGACATCCTGTAAGGTCGTTTATTCCACTACACAGCTGTCAGGGCTCCCGGTATGACCAGAGGTGTGTGACTGACGCAGGGAAACGCAGACTTCAGATATGTTATAAACAATGTAATTTATTAACACTAACCATACAAACATAAACGCAGTGCAATACTAAAACATAACACAGTGCAAACAAACCAACCAACCACCCACAGATAACAGTACATTCAATGCAAGCGTCGTCAGGCAGGCCGGGTCAATATCAGTTGGGCAGGTAGCGGGCAGAGTGGGTACAGAGGGTCAGGCAGAGGAGAATGGTCAGACATGCCAGGATCAGAGCAGGGTCAACAGAGAATCAGACAGGAACAGAGAGCAGGAACAGGATACAGGGCCCAAGAGAAACACAACACCAAGGCAGAGTCTGCAGGTCTGAATGTCCCTTAAATACACCAGTATAATTAGTTCCAGGTGTTTTGACTGGCTGCAAGGTTGAGTCTCTGATTGCTGGGAGCACCCGCTGGCCAGCCCTGTACTGCAGCTCATAAGGCAGCTGAGTCCCACTATTGCTGGCCAGTCCATTCCATTGACAGTACCCCCCCTTCAAGGAGCGGCCTCAGGACGCTCCAAAAACAGTCCCTAGCTGGGCAAAATGTTCCACCGCCCGGGTCTGTAACTGGCGGGATATCAAAGTCTGGCACACCGGCTAGGACTCCGGGCAGAGGCACTCCGGGCAGCGGCACACCCGGGCAGAGGCACATCGGGATGCTGGACTCCGGGCAGAGGCACATCGGGCTGGACTCCGGGCAGAGGCACCATCAGGCTGGACTCCGGGCAGAGGCACATCGGGCTGGACTCCGGGCAGAAGGCACACCGGCAGAGCACATCGGGCCGGACTCTGGGCAGAGGCACATCGGGATTACCAGGCGAAGCAGCAGGCAGCGGGCCACCGGGCGGAGCAGCAGCAGGCAGCGGGCCCCGGGCGGAGCAGCAGGCACCGGGCCCCCGGGCGGAGCAGCAGGCACCGGGCCCCCAGGCGGGGCGACCGGCATCGGGCACTCAGGCGGAGCGGCGGGCGCCGGGTCCCCAGGAGGGGCACAGGCATCGGGTCCCCAGGCAGGGCGACAGGCATCGGGCCCCCAGGCGGGGCGACAGGCATCGGGCCCCCAGGCGGGGCGACCGGCATCGGGCCCCCAGGCGGGGCGACCGGCATCGGGCCCCCAGGCGGGGCGACTGGCATCGGGCCCCCAGGCGGGGCGACAGGCATCGGGCCCCCAGGCGGGGCAACAGGCATCGGGCCCCCAGGCGGAGCGGCGGGCGCCGGACCCCCAGGCGGAGCGGACAGGTCTCGGGCCCTCAGGCGGAGCGGCGGGCGCCGGACCCCCAGGGGAGCGACAGGTCTCGGGCCCTCAGGCGGAGCGGCGGGCGCCGGACCCCCAGGCGGAGCGACAGGTCTCGGGCCCTCAGGCGGAGCGGGCGGGCGCCGGACCCCCAGGCGGAGCGACAGGTCTCGGGCCCTCAGGCGGAGCGGCGGGGGCGGGCGCCGGACCCCCAGGCGAGCGACAGGTCTCGGGCCCTCAGGCGGAGCGGCGGGCGCCGGACCCCCAGGCGGAGCGACAGGTCTCGGGCCCTCAGGCGGAGCGGCGGGCGCCGGACCCCCAGGCGGAGCGACAGGTCTCGGGCCCTCAGGCGGAGCGGCGGGCGCCAGACCCCCAGGCGGAGCGACAGGTCTCGGGCCCTCAGGCGGAGCGACAGGTCTCAGGCCCCCAGGCGGGCGGCGGGCGCCGGACCCCCAGGCGGAGCGGCGGGCGCCAGACCCCCAGGCGAGGCGAGCGGGTCTCGGGCCCCCAGGCGGAGCGGCGGGCACCGAGTCACCAGGCACGACAGTGGGCTCCGAGTCAACTGGCATGGACCGCTGGCACTGGGGTCAAACATTGGATCGTCTGGCTGGACAGCGGGCATCGGGTCACCAGGCATCAAGTCATTTGGCTCGACAGCGAGCACCGCGTCATCTGGCAAGGCAGTGGGCTCCGAGTCAACTGGCATGACCGCGGGCACTGGGGCAGACATTGAATCGTCTGGCTGGACAGCGGGTATCGGGTCACCAGGCATCAGGTCATTTGGCTCGACAGCGGGCACCGCGTCATCTGGCAAGGCAGTGGGCTCCGAGTCAAACAGGCACGACAGTGGGCACCGGTCATCAGGTACCGGATTGTCTGGCTCGACAGCGGGCATCGGGTCACCAGGTATGACAGCGGGCACTGGATCACCAGGCATCAGGTCATTTGGCTTGCCAGCGGCACCGCGTCATCTGGGCAAGGCAGTGGGCACCGGGTCACACCAGGCATTGGATCGTCTGGCTGGATCAGTTCATCATGCTGGTAGAGGCATCAGGCTGAATGCGGGAGCCCGGCTGAGTAGAGGCTTCAGGCCGAGTAGAGGCATCAGGCCGAGTAGAGGCATCAGGCCGCGTACAGGCATCAGGCCGCGTACAGGCATCAGGCTGAGTAGAGGATTCAGGCTGAGTAGAGGATTCAGGCTGAGTAGAGGATTTAGGCTGAGTAGAGGCTTCAGGCTGAGTAGAGGCTTCAGGCTGAACCACGGAAAGCAGGTTCACCGGTTTGGATACTGGCAGGATGGTATTGGTTGGAAAGAATTTTCGCTTTTTTCTGGTTTTAACTACTGGAGCACTGCAAGTAAACGCAGGTCTGCAAACGAATGGAGCAGCTGGAGACAGAGAAGAACTGGAGGATGGAACAGGAGAGGGAGCAGTTGCTACAGAGGACTTTTTTACAGGGTTAAAGGCAGGATAGGTGCAGCGAGTGGAACAGGGGACTGACATGCGGTAGATAGCAGGGGCAGGAGGAGCTGTTGGGGATTGCAGGAATAGAGTTTTGAGGAAATAGATTAGAAGCAGGACTGGGTTTTTGTAAGCTGACTGAGGCTGGGTGCAGCAAGTCTGTCCATGTCTGCAGTATGGGTTGAACAAAGCTGAGCTTACACAAAGCCTGTCCTGGGTCAATGACTAACACTGCGTTTATAAGTACAATCTCTTAGTGTCCTGTGGTGAACATGTGGAATAATGCTCCAGAAAGTAATTCCACATCATCCTCTAATAACCACACCAGGGACTCTACCTGGTCTGCACTAAATGGTGGCAAAAATTCATCCCTGCATTCGGGGTACCAGATGAAACCAACTCAGCACAAACCTCAATCAAAGGCTGCACCTCAGAGAACTCTGTGCCCTGATCTACTAGAACATGAGCGAGCCGTATACATTCTAAGCAGTTCATTCCGGGGGATACTCCTTCAGAGTTGATAAGCATACTCCTCTGTCATCAAACACTAGCAGAGATAAATACGCAACCTCATCCAGATCCATCCTTCCAATCAACAAGCCAAGATGGCTTCCCCCTGTGCAGCCACTTCTGGTCAGGATTGGCCCTTGGTGTAATGTCAGGGCTCCCGGGTATGACCAGAGGTGTGTGACTGACGCAGGGAAACGCAGACTTCAGATATGTTATAAACAATGTAATTTATTAACACTAACCATACAAACAAAACGCAGTGCAATACTAAAACATAACACAGTGCAAACAAACCAACCAACCACCCACAGATAACAGTACATACAATGCAAGCGTCGTCAGGCAGGCCGGGTCATATCAGGGGACGGGCAGGTAGCGGGCAGCGTGGTACAGAGGGTCAGGCAGAGGAGAATGGTCAGACATGCCAGGGATCAGAGCAGGGTCAGCAGAGAATCAGACAGGAACAGAGAGCAGGAACAGGATACAGGGCCCAAGAGAAACACAACACCAAGGCAGAGTCTGCAGGTCTGAATGTCCCTTAAATACACCAGTTATAATTAGTTCCAGGTGTTTGACTGGCTGCAAGGTTGAGTCTCTGATTGCTGGGAGCACCCGCTGGCCAGCCCTGGTACTGCAGCTCAAGAAGGCAGCTGAGTCCCACTATTGCCTGGCCAGTCCATTCCTGACAACAGCTTGGTGTCATCTACAAATGGTATTTTTAATCCCAGACCCTATATCATTTATGAATATATTAAAAAGTAAGGGTCCCAACACTGAACCTTGGGTACACCACTGACAACCCTAAGACCAGAGTATAAATCATTAACCACTACTCTCTGAATAAGATCTTTTAGCCAGTTTTCTATCCATTTACATACAGATTTTGCAAAGCCTGTAGACTTTACATTACACATTAGCCGGCTGTGTGGGGAACTGTGTCAAACGCTTTTGCAAAATCCAAGTATACCACGTTCCACCGCCACCAAACCATCCAAGGTTTTGCTCAGCTCCTCATAAAAAGAAATCAGATTTGTTTGACAACTTCTGTCTTTCAAGAATCCATGCTGTCTGTTGCTTAAAATATTTTTTTCCAGCAAGAACTCAAGTTAACTCAAGTTAAAACTAACAGGTCTATAAGTACTATGCCAGTCATTAAAGAGTCCCATAAAAATTAGAAACAATGGCTTTGATGATGACCGAGCTCAATCTTTAAGACCTGTGGGTGTATGCCATCCAGTCCAGGTGCACCTTTATTCTGTCTAAATATTTTTTTCGATCATCTCAGTGTGAACCAATGTGGATCATCTGGAGCTGTGTCAATTCCATGCTCATTATGGACACAAGCTCCTCAACATGCTCCTTTGTATACACAGTGCTGCAGAAGGTGTTTAATAATTTGCCTTCTCTTTGTCCCCAATCACCCACCCTGGATTATTTTGTAAAGGGCCTACATGCTTGAGACCGGACCTTTTATGATTAATATAATTTGAAGAATTTTGGGGGGTTGGCCCTTCTATCTTTTGCAATCTGTCATTCGTTTTCAATTTTTGCTGCCTTTATTTCCTTTTTTGCATATTCTGTTATATTTCTTTGAAATGTTTAAACAATGATAACATTGCTTAATTTTTCTAGTTAATAAAAGCTGTTTTCTTATTATCTAGAGCTTTTTTTATCTTTGGCCGTAAGCCACATAGGTTTGATTTTTAGCCTTTTAAACTTGTTGCTCATGGAATATATTTTGCAGTGTGTTTACATACAGTCTTTTTGAAGAACTCCCATTTCTGTGTTGTGTTCATTGATGCCAATTATCCCTCCCAGTCTAAGTCTTGGAGAGCAGCTCTCAGCTTTGGAAAAATTAGCTTACTTAAAATTGAGCATTTTTATTTTTCCCGTATGTGCTTGCTGTTTACAGCTAACAATAAATGAAATCATGTTATGGTCACTGCTACCCAGATGTTTCTTTTATATGGCATTCATAATAAGCTCTGCATGGTTTGGAGATTACCAGGTCCAGCAGAGCATAATTCCTAGTTGTGGCCTCTAAGAACTGTACCATAAAATTGTCCTGTAGTAGGTTAAAAAGGTTTGACCTTTAACTGTTCCTTGCTAGAGATGAGCGAATCGAAAACATGGCGAAGTGGAATTCGTTTCGAAGTTCAGGAAAAATTTGATTCGCGCGCCGAATCCGAAAATTAGCAATCTTCGGATGCACGAATCGAATTTTCCCAAAAAAATGGCGGCGACATGTGTGGCGACGGAGCGGGGATCTCTGGGAAGGCGCGCAGGACAAAGGCGCGCTGACCCATAATGCATTCATTCATGACATGTGATCGCATTAGCCAATCAGCAGCCCAGCCAGCCAGCACTGTGTAATGGTGGAGCTATAAATTGCGGCCATCTTACAATTCTCCATTAGCCTCCGGTCATTCAAGAGAGACAGACCTGTCTGTATTAGGGACAGAGTAAGGGCCAGAGAGACTTTAGGGCCACAGATCGTTACTTAGGGACACCAGAATCGTTACTCAGGGACACAGAATCGTTACTCAGGACACAGAATCGTTACTCAGGGACACAGAATTGTTACTCAGGGACACAGAATTGTTACTCAGGGACAGACACAGAATTGTTACTCAGGGACACAGAATTGTTACTGAGGGACACAGAATCGTTACTCAGGGGACACAGAATCGTTATCAGGGACACAGAATTGTTACTCGCAGGGACACAGAATCGTTACTCAGGGACACAGAATCGTTTACTCAGGGAACACAGAATTTTTACTCAGGGACACAGAAATTGTTACTCAGGGACAGACACAGAATTGTTACTCAGGGACACAGAATCGTTACTCAGGGACACAGAATCGTTACTCCTCAGGGACACAGAATCGTTACTCCAGGGACACAGAATCGTTACTCAGGGACACAGAATCGTTGAATTAAGAGTATGTCAGACAACACGCAGAGGAGTGGCAGAGGAGGCAATGTTTCAGGAGTGAGCTGACGTCGGCCAGCAGAGGAAGGGGTCGAGGCAGCACTAGTCGCAGCAGAGGCCAGTGCTCCGGTGTTCATCCAGCGGTCGTGTCTCACCGACAACCATGCCGTCATCGATTGGTTGGGCCTCGGTCGTTCTTCCTCTTCCCAGGTCCGTGCCTCTGACACCTACAGCCAACGGTCGGTGGGTACATCAGACACACAACCGTTAGTTGGCATGGCCCTGGGAGCAATAAGCCCACTTGAAATCACGTGTCCTCTACCTGCCCTTGTCCTTTGGTGTTCCCTCACCAAGCGAATGTATGCATTGCTGTGGGCTCAGCCCCACTGTACAGTGAGGAAGAGCTAAACAGAGGGCAGTCAGGAACGGGGGGGAGACATCGCCTCTTCAGCAGCCAGGCGAAGATGTACTGGCGAGGAGCGTGGCTCGGTAGCCCAGTCTAGAGGACAGGTCTGTCTCCTGACCCACACGCAGCGAGGGGGCTTAGTAGTGAGGCGGGAGACCCTAATTGATGATGCTGAGGCTGATTGCACTTGGCAAGCCTCGTCGTCATCTGCCAGGCCCTAATCTGCCATGGGCCCCGTACCGACTCTCATGCTGCTGCCAGGCCGTAATCTGTCATGGGCCCCTGTACCGCCTCCTCATGCTGCTGCCAGGTCCAGAGTGTGTCATGGGTCCCTGTACGGCCTCCCATTGCTGCTGTCTCCAGCGCACACTCTGCCATGTGCCACTTTCAGGTCTCCTCACATCTGCTGGTGGGTTCCATTTTGTCATAGGGGGTGCTGGCAGATTACGGGCCTCCATTGCTGCTGCCAGGCCCGTTATCTGCCATGGGCCCCCAGTACCGACTCTCATGCTGGGCTGCCAGGCCCTGTAATCTGTCATGGGCCCCTGTACCGCCTCCTCATGCTGCTGCCAGGTCCAGAGTGTCTCATGGGTCCCTTTACGGCCTCCCATTGCTGCTGTCTCCATCGCCACACTCTGCATGTGCACTTTCAGGTCTCCTCACAACTGCTGGTGTGTTCCATTTTGTCATAGGGTGCTGGCAGATTACGGGGCCTCCCATTGCTGCTGCCAGGCCTGTAATCTGCCATGGGCCCTGCCTGTACCGCCTCCTCATGCTGCTGCCCAGGTCCACAGTGTCTAATGGGTCCCTCTGTACGGCCTCCCATGCTGCTGTCTCCATCGCCACACTCTGCAATGT